CCACCAGCTACTCTTTCTTTCTGGGTTTTTTTTTTTTTTTGGTTGTTGTAAATATATCTATCACACAGTTTTGGCCAATGAAATTTTTCCAGGTGTACAAGTTATTTACAGAAATTACATTTTCTAAAAATGAAAATAAAAGCAAAAAGCGTGATCCCTGCTATTACAGAGCTCATGGTGTTTTTGTTTCTAATTGCTTCTGAGTTGATTCCTACTCATGGTGACCCAGTGTTAGAGCAGAACTGCACTCCAGGGTTTTCAAGGCTGTGATCTTTTGGGAATAGATTGTCAGCCTTGTCTTCTGAGGTGTCCCTGGGTGGGTTAGAACTGCTATATTTTGGCTAGCAAGTACTTAATAGTTTGTGTCACACAGGAACTCAAAGAGCTCATAAACTAATGGAAAAAATGAAAAAGAAATTCCAAAAAGTAAGATTGAAATCTCAAAAATGTGGGCTACAGTCTGGATTTATGACCTGGATAGAACAAAGTTGTACACAGTATATGGAAAACTGAGGGAGTAAGCTGAAGAAAATAGTAAGAAAATTGAATAGTTCCCATTTCAAAAGGATTGTTTTTAAGTACATATATGTATAATTCACTTGCACATTTAACTGCAACACATATGCATCTTAAAATCTCATCAGAGTTTTCTCATGTAGTTTAGTTTTAAAAAGAAAAATAAATATTTTGCCAGTGGTGTCCTTGTTGTTATTGTTATTACGTGCCATCGAGTCATCTCCGACTCATAGCGACCCCTCCTTGGGTTTCCGAGGCAGTATCTCTATGGAAGTAGATTGCCCAATCTTCCTTCCAAGGACCGCCAGCCTTCTGGTTAGCAGTCAAGTGCCTTAGGCGTTACCCCACCAGTGGTGTCCTTGAGGCTGGTGAAAATGTGAGAGGTTTTCTGTCTATTGCATCACAATATAATCCAAATTATGTAGTCATTTGAGTCAAGCCTCACCTTTCACTGAGATTGCCAGAATTACTTGAATGTTATTCTTTTCACAGTATTAGCAATAAAATTCACTAATACATTTCCTTCACTTGAGCTGGAGGTGTAGGCTGCAGGATGCTGTGTACAGTGAAAGTGGCTTTAGAGTCCAACAGAAAAACAAAATTCACTTTCTTTCAGTGTACGCCATTTATTTTTCTCTAAATTGGTATTTACAATTTAATGCTACTTGATCTTTATTACCTTACTTATTTTTTTATGCTCTTAAATTTAAAATAAAAAAAAGCTCTGGTGGCATAGTGCCTAAGGCATTTCACTGCTAACCAGAAGGCTGTTGGTTCAAACCCACCAGGCACTCCTCAGAAGGAAGGTTGGGCAATCTACTTCTGTAGGGATACTACTTTGGCAGCCCAACAAGGGTCCACTATGAGTCAAATCTACTCGACAGCAATGAGTTTGTTTGTTTTTAAAAGTTAAAATATGCTCTTAGGAGCTTTCAAAATAACTCCTTCTTCTGCATAAACTTCTATTTAGCAAGTCTTGTTATAATAGGTTGCTTTCAGCATTGCTAATGCTGAGACCCAAGTACGTTTCTAGATTAGAAAATCAAATCAGGTTTTAGTTCAACATAAGGGATGAAACAGCTTTGGATAGCCTTGAAATGAATTACAAATTAATTGGCTGAGTGTTCTGCTCATTGTTCCTTCCATTCTGATAGTAATATAGGTTAGCTTACACTGGAAAACTTAGTGCAATAGAAAATTATGGACCTATTTATGGAGGTTTTTAAAATGAGTTATCTGAATTTACCTAGAACCTTACTATCATTTTTTTGTGCTATGTTTTATTTTGAGAATTTTAGCTCCACAACTATTGTGTAATCAGTATAGGATGAGCACCTAATGAGATTTTTACATTGTAAGTCATTCCAGCCTTATTCCTCTTGATTAAACAACAACAACAACAACAACAAAATGGATAACATGCTTTGACACATTTACAGAAAGCATGTAATTTAGTACTAGTACTTATAGTAAATGTTACTAATCAGATTTTTTTTTTGGAGAGAAGGGAAACAGATTTAATAGATAATGGAATTAACACACACACACACACACACACACACAAGCAGTATCATATTTCCTAGGAAAAGACACACTTCATTCAATCTAATTTCAAACTCTTGGTAATAAACCAAGAATTAATAATTTTTTTATTGTTGTTGTTGTTGTTTGCCATCGAGTTGGCCCCGACTCATAGCGACCCCTCCTTGGGTTTCCGAGGCAGTATCACTACAGAAGTAGGATTGCCCAACAGCTAAAATTACTTTTCAAAGCAGGACACACAGGAGTGCATAATTATGAGGGGCACAGGAGGAGGGTTACTGGGCAGGGAGAGGAGGAGACTGGGTTAGGGTTGCGGATGGTAAATAGGGAGTGAAACTAAATGTACCTGGAACAATTGAAAAAAAAAAGAAAACAAAGACTATAGCTTTGAAAGAAATTTACACTTATTGTTTGGTATTTCATCACTTTAGAATATGTTAACCCATTTATTTATTTCATGTTTTATATGTTGCATACCTTATTTATAACTGGTATCCAAAGTTAATTTAGTAGAAGGTTCTGTTTTTAATTTAAATTAGAAAGGAAATGTTAAATGCAGGGCAGGATTTCATGTCCAGCCTTTGTGTGGAATGAGACCATGTCTTCTTAGGCAGAAGGCAGCAAAAAAATCTGTGATGATTTACAACATACACCCTCAACTTGCTCATTTTTACAGCCTCTCTCTTTCTTTTTCACTCTCTCATTACACATACATATACATATACACACGGGTTGGCAGGATATATGTTTTTAATTAATGTTAGTTAGAATTTTTCACCACCCTTTGAGATTATTTGAGACATCACAGGGATAAGTCACTAGAAAATATCAGAAATATTTCTATTTCTAGCTCTGCCATGGACTCTCTTTGTCCTATTTAATGAGTCTTGGAACCTTTCTTTTCTTAATTCCATATGAAAAAAATGCAGGTCATTATTATGTCATGCTTCTAATTTACTTCCAAGGTATGCCTCCATGATTAATCAAATTAAAACAATATATAACCCTTGGTTTGTTGTTGTTGTTGTTGTTAAGTGCCGTCGAGTCAAACCCGACTCATAGCGACCCCTCCTTGGGTTTCCGAGGCAGTATCACTATGGAAGTTTGTTTAGTGAATACAAAATCTAACAACACAATATTAAGATTTATTACTAAAAGGATTACAATGGAGATAAACAGGCAGACTTTTTATGAAACATTCTGAAGCCATAAATATGATCATTTTCATAGTGCTACATTATCTTCCCACCATTTCTCTTATTACTCTTTTAAGTAATGATATCATTGATAGACCTGTGTATGGAAAATGTAGATTAATTGATCTAATGGTAGCTCACTGATATGATCCTGTCTTTTTTATTTTAAGATGTGTATAGTGTTTGGATGTGAATATGTATATGTATAGAAAAATGTTAATAAGTAGATATTTCCATAATTTTGGGTGATTTAAATTATGTATTTTTAATGTCTGTATTTTCTGCAATTAACATGTATTATTTATTAAACTTACTATAATTAAACTTAGTAATATCAACATTGTTTAACTGTCATCAGTTTAAAAATCTACTCATTTAATCCGAATACATCATATTATGTTATAGAAATATATACAATGAAAATACTTATTTTAACAATGGGGAAAAACAGAGTAATAATAATGAATTTACTTTAGATACTCTAATGTGTTGAAGATAACCTAGCACATCTCATCCTAATGATCTTTCTATATCATTCTGTCTTTTGATAATTTTAATTTTTAAAAATCTGTTTTACAGCTACAAGATCGTACTCAGTTCAGTGATCGAGACTTAGCCACTCTTAAGAAGTACTGGGACAATGGCATGACCAGTCTGGGCTCTGTTTGTAGAGAGAAAATTGAAGCAGTTGCAACTGAATTAAATGTTGACTGTGAAATAGTTCGGGTAAGACATTTTCAATAATTTTCATGTTGTGGTTGGTGAGTGGCATAAATGAAAGCTTTAAAGCTTTGCGTGAGGTGCTACAAATGATAGCATCACTGAAACAAAAAGACAACAGAATAGGGAAAAAACAGAAAATTATATGTCTGATAAGGGGCTAGTACCTAGCATATGTAAAGAACTCTTGTAAGTCAATAATAATAATAATAATAAATTTGAAAATAAATATTTCAACAAAGAAGATACACAAATTGCTAGTAAGCACATGAAAATATGTTTGACATCATTAATTTCTAGAGAAATGCAAATCAAACAATAATAAGATAACACTTCATACCCACTTTTGTTGTTAGTTGTCATGGGGTTGGGATGGCTATAATTAAGAAAATGACATGTAACAACAAATACTGGCTAGAATGTGGAGAAATTGAATTCCTTGTGCACTGTAGGTAACAATGTAAAATATTTTGGCCTCTTTGGAAAACATTCTGACTTTTCCTCAAAAAAGTAAATAAACAGTTACCATATGACCCAGATATTCCACCCCCTAATTATATACCAGGAGACATGTTGTCACAGTGGTCAAACACATGGCTGCTAATTGAAAGGTTGGCAGTTCAAACCCACCAGTCTCTCCAAGGGAGAAAGATGTAGAGTCTGCTTTGGAAAAGATTTATAGTCCTGTATATTTAGACCTGTACTCTGCCCTACAGGGTCATATGAGTTGGAACAACTCAACTGTAGTAGATTTGGCTTTTTGGTTTTGGATATCTACTCAAGAATATTGAAAATATATGTCTGCACCAAAACTTATATACAAATATTCATAGCACATTATTCTTAATAGCCAAACAATGGAAGCAACTGAAATGTCCATCAAGTACTGGATTAAAAAAATGTGGTATATCCATGTGATAGAATAATACTTACCAGTAACAAAGGAATGAATAGCAGAAAAATGAAACAAGATCCATACCTCACATCATACGCAAAAACTAACTTCACAGGAATCAAAAACTAAAACATAAAACCTAAAATTATAAAGTTCATCAAAGAAAAAATAGGGGCACTAATATATGCCATTAGTAGACTATTTCATATGAGTAAAAATGTACAAACAGCAGAAGATAAACTAGATGGGTGGGACCTTTTAAAAATTAAATTCTTCTGTGCATCAAAAGACTTCTCCAAAAGAATCAAGAGAACCTACAGACTGGGGGAAATATTCAACAATGACATAACTCACAAGGGACTTATCTCTAAAATTTATGGAGAATTACAACACTTCAACATCAAAAAGACAAGTAATTCAATTAAAAAATGAACAGACACTTCACCAAAGAAGATATTCAGGTGGCCAACACATTATTAAATGGTCACGATTATTAGCCATTAAACCAAAAACTAAACTAAACTCACTGCTGTGGAGTCAGGTCTGACTCACTGCAACCTGACCTTGGGTTTCCAAGGCAGTATCACTACAGAAGTAGATTGCCCAACCTTCCTTCTGAGCAGTCTTGTTAGCCATTAGAGAGATGCAAATCAAAACAATG